GAAAGGAGACGGCGGGGGGGGGCGTGGGGGGCCGCGCAGCCGGAACAGTACAGCCAGCCACTCACCTATGCAGTGGGCGAAGGGGGGAGGGCGGTACGGCGTTCCCCACCTCTCTGACGAGCGTTCAGGATCTTGGGCTTTGAGCGCACAAGAAGGGGGGTGAGTCGTGTTGGCCACAGACCAGCACAGCACAGCAGGGACCAGAAAAACCGCCTCCTTGTGCATGTATTTATGATGTGCGAGGGGAGTACAGCCAGCCACTCACCTATGCAGTGGGCGAAGGGGGGAGGGCGGTACGGCGTTCCCCACCTCTCTGACGAGCGTTCAGGATCTTGGGCTTTGAGCGCACAAGAAGGGGGGTGAGTCGTGTTGGCCACAGACCAGCACAGCACAGCAGGGACCAGAAAAACCGCCTCCTTGTGCATGTATTTATGATGTGCGAGGGGGGCTGCGTGATGGTCACTGAGAACTGCAATGTGAGTGGCAGATGCTGGCACGCTCATGCCACCAGGACTCAAACGATGACAATGTCCTAACCCAAGAACTTGTGCAATTGACAGGGAGGAAAGCTGCACACGATCTCGTCCCCACGGACACAGAGGACTGCTCACAGGTGACGGGGGATGGTATTTTGATCACATCTACACTGGACGAGCAGAATAAAGGCTGGAGCAGTTATTCTTTAACTGGTTTTTAATAGGCCAATTTCACAAAGCTGAAAACAATGATCAGCCAATCAGCTGGGAGGAAGCATGTTATCAGGAAATGGGAATGATCATTGGGAATCACTGAAGAACAACGTCCCAGGTACCAAAAAAGCCAAGCCCCCAGCAGGAGGAAGAGGAAGAAGGCTCAAACCTGAACTGGTTGGGAGGGGAAGGGAAAGCCGCTTGAAAAGTGGTAACAGCAGCAGACGGGAACGACCAGCGATGACCGTAAATCAGAAGGTAGGAACTGTGGGAAATGGACAAGGGAAGGGAAGGGAACGGACACCAGGGCTATTCAAATACATTAAATATCCGGCCCGTGGCACTGACGGAAACGGCAGAATTCTCACTAGCCTCCAGAAGAGGCAGATGTGTCCAGCTACCCACTGGAGGAGCCGGCGGGGCCAAAGGGCATGAAGAAGCAGGCCTGCCCCACACCAGCCTGGTGAGCTGGCCTAGGCACGCACTGAGGAGCGGGAATGGTGCGACACACTTCTGAGAAAGAGCGAGCGATCTGGCGTCCGGAGGGGCCGGGCCCCGGGGCGAGGCTGGGCGGGGAAAGGGCCCCCACTCGGAACACACACGCACCCGGCTGCAAAGTAAGCGCTCTGTATTTGTCTGAGCACGTCTGCAATACAGGGTTTCATCTGGTATAAATAAAGTACAAAATCTTACAATGTCTTAATCATTATTTTAACAAAAATACTAAAAACTCAGTAAAAACTGAAACGGGGGGAGGGGGCTACGACCACACAGGCACCAAACCCTTTGTAGAAACCGGAGTAAAAAGAGTGTGTGAGAAACTCGCTCCCTGCCCGCCGAGCAAGGCAGCTGCAGAACACGGTGCCCGGGGAACAGCCAGTCCAGCGCCGTCTCCCTCCTGGCTCAGTAGCGTCCGAAGGGGTTGCTGTTCTGCTGGGGCTGGGTATCTGTGTAGAGCAAACACAGTCAGACGCTGGGGCCCGTTGGCCAGGCAGGGAGGAAGGGTCCCGGGCGCTGGGCTCGCTGCTGCCGAAGGGCCGAGTGCCCGGCACGGCACCT